CTTCGTCCTTCCCGTTCCGTTCCTCTTTCGTCCCTCCGCATTTTTCTCTCCCTCCCCCTTCTTCCTCCCCTCCTCCCCTCCCTTCGCGTCTCTTTCTCTTCCTTCCCCCCCCCCCACCTTCGATTCCGAATTCCCCTCTTTTCTTCTTTCCTGGTTTCTGTCCGGGTTCTCTTTTCCCAGGCTTCTTCCTGGGAGAGGACGCGGTCTTCCCTCACTCCTGAACCTAAACTTATTTACTTAGTATCTTCGATTCAAGAGAAATGGTACGGCAATGATGGGGCATCTCATCAAGCAGCAGTTCCCCCCCATCCCGCTCTCTCCCGCCGCCGCCGCCGCCGCCGCCGCCGCCATGCCCCTCTCCCACTCAATGCCTTCCGCCACCAACGATGACTTCCTGTCTATGACTCCTCCGGACACCTCGGATATTGCTCTTGCTGCCTCTAAGGTGACCTCCAGTGCTGTATCTGATGCCATTCAGGTGATCTCCACCGAGCGGGCAGCCTTGGCGCACTTGGAGCACATTTATCAAACCGATGCTCTCGCCCAGGAACACCTTGCGCGCGCAGTCACTCGCATCGCGCGCACCATCAAACATGGTGGGAAGCTGGTCTGCTGCGGCGTGGGCAAGAGTGGTAAAATCGCCCAGAAGCTGGAGGCCACGATGAACAGTCTCGGAATTTACAGTGCTTTTTTGCATCCGACGGAAGCCCTACACGGCGACCTTGGCATGATTCGACCGGTAAGACATGGTGAATACCTCCCACATGATACCTCGATTGCTAACTTTGGGTCGTGTCTCAGCATGATACCCTTTTGTTGATTTCCTTTTCCGGGCGTACACCCGAACTTTTACTTCTGCTCCCTCATATTCCGTCCACGGTGCCAGTGATTGCCATCACCTCGCACATGCACCCTTCGACCTGCCCTCTTTTGTCCTTCCAACCTTCGGACATGGGGATACTCCTACCCGCCCCAATTCACGAGGATGAGGAGTCTTCCATTGGGGTGAGTGCCCCCACATCGTCCACCACGGTGGCCTTGTCGCTGGGAGATGCTCTGGCTATCGCCACGGCTCGACGACTGCATACCGCTCCGGGGCGGGGTCCGGCCGAGGTCTTCAAGGGTTACCACCCGGGCGGTGCAATTGGCGCTGCCTCGATGGTTCTGACCCCGATGAGCATGTCCTCCGCCTCAAGCACATCTACTCCGTCCGATTATATCCCAACGCAGGACTCCATCGTCTCGTTCCCCAAGGTGGACCGCAAAGGAAGCCAACAACCACGCGTTGCGGATGTGTCGACTGCCCTCGACCAGATCCCGAAGGTCTCTGCATCGGGCAAGATCCGTCTCTTGGATATCCTGCTTACCGCGATCCAACATCCTCATGCGAAGTCATGGGTCTTCTTGTCCCCGTCAGAGATCATTCCTCCGCGACACCTTCGTTTCCTTTCCCAAAGCAACTATGTGGATATGCATGTGTCCTCGTTCGTCGACCTGGGCCTTCCCTTTAGCGTGTCCCGCAAAGACTGGCTTCGGATTCCCAGCTCTAGCACCATAGACGACGCCCGCCGGCTGGTGTCTGAGGCCAATGCCGCCACCTCTACGACTGTGGTTGTGCTTGCAGTCATGCACGATAACGAGTGCTTGGGCGTGATCGAGGCCGAGGATCTGTGGAATGATTGTGATGACTAGCTCTTCTTCCCCTTGCCTTTGGGCCCGCAAGGTCCTCATGCCAGGGCCAAAATATGGCGACGATGTATACGACTGATGTTTTTTGAGCATTCATGGATTTGGTATATTCTTGGATCTCGCTTCTTTTCCCCATTGGCTTATCTTCTTCAACCTCGATTCTCTTCACTTCTCGCAAGTTGTTTTCTTTCCCCGTGGCTTTCCCATTTCCCGACCTCTATCCACGATTGTTGGTCTTTCTTGGATTCAGCTTTTTGTCAATATGTTCCTCATATGCATACAAGACGTCTACAGGCACCTCAAAACAGGCGGGATAATTCCTGCATCTTTCGCATAAAGGAAGCCTGGTTCGGTTCAGTTGGGACCTGTTTTGGTGATATACATACTAGACCCCGTCTTTAGCGTGGCTTCTTCGCTTGCTTATTCTCATCTCACATCATCATTATTATACCCAAGGGGGGGGGGGGGGGGTTTGGATATTCTAAATCTCCCACACCGATACTTTTCTCATTCGAAAATCTCCTTCTTGCATATACTTCATATAACATCTATTAAATATAATGTATGACCACTTCGATGCTCGCCAAGAAATCGATAGTGTTGATACCTTCTTTCTTGTTCAGCATCCCAACACAGGAAGAGGTGAGGAATACAGCATCGGAATTTTTTGAATGAAGAATACCAAGAAAAGAGGAGGGAGGGGGGAAGATTGAAGGTATTAAGTGGAAATCTATGATATGTATGGTATCTTTGAGAACAAAAAAGGAGGCGGGACAAGAAACACAACGCATTAATCGTAACAGTGCATAAGACGCCTTTGCAGAACATGAGAAAGAGACCAATTCCGAAACGTGTCATGAGAGAATCAACCAGGGAGAAGGGACAGTTGACTTGGGGGACTTCTTTGCGATCGAGTGAGGGTCTCTTTCCAGCGGGGAGGAGTAGATGACGGAATGCTATACATGCGGAGCAATAACCCGGCGGACGGTAAAGTGGGTTGTCATGGCGTTTCCCTCCCTCTTTGCCGAGGTGAGCGGCAGAACGTGGCCGGATTCTTGAAGGTTGGTCCAGAAGAAGTCAAGGGGGACATGCGAGGAATATAGCAGGTGGCAGTATGAGCGGACGCAATGAGTTACACTACCGAAGTATCCTGGGTCGTGTTGCGAGAATGGTGGGGGATGGAGGGTGCGAGGAGAAAACCCGTTCTGCTGGAAAGGAAAGGAAAGGAAAAAACCCCTTGTCTGAAGTCCCATATTGCGAAGCGCTCCCCAATATCAATTCCCGCGACCCCACCCTCTTATAGTGTTCTTGTTTACCCTTGCAGCGGATAACAGGATGGGGCGAGGGAAAGGTGGGAGAACACTAAAGTTAACTGAATCCCTTTCGGGGAGGAGAGGGGGGGGGGGGGGGCGGGAAGAACAAGGTTTCTATCAACCCGACGAACCCGGCTCCTGCCGGCCCTTCCCCTTGTCGGCGGTCCCATCATCTTTGTAAAGATTGTGCTGTTCGATATAATGGATGACGGGGACGGGGATCAGGTAGCGGACGCTCATGTCACGGCGCAGGAAGAGGCGAATCTTGGTGCTGCTGACGTCATTTTGGATGAGTTGCTGGATGACATGGATGTTCTTCTTCCAGGTCTGGAGGGCGGCGAGCGCTTCGTCGATATCGGTTCCGCTGCGTTCGACGATGAAGGTCTGTTTTGCTGCGTTAGCTTGGGTCGTTCTTTTTAAGATTCGGTATTTGGAGTGGGGGTGAGGGAGTGAGAGCGTACACCGTATTTTCCGAGGATGTGATCGAGATCCTTCTCGCTCCACACCCCAGGGGTGGACATGGTGTGCACCAGATCTGCGCCGGCCAGCAGAGCGATCTGGATGGGCTTGCGCGTGCCATTTCCGGCCTCGATCCCCTCGCGGACGGTGTTGATCTCGTGGTCGAAGTGGTCCAGGACCACGGCGGTGGGCTGGTATTCCTTCTGCATGGGTTCCCAGGTGTCAACCATGAGCCAGTCGGAGGTCTGGTCGACGGCTAGTTGGCACATCGCCACACTAATCGCTCTCCTGTTAATGTTTTCTTTCTTGAGTCAGGATGGAGGCGCAGGGTATGGACACCTACCGATGCTCGGCGTTCGCCAATCCGGCCTTGCGATAGGCATCCGACACGGGCGACAGATACCCGCCCACGATCTCGAAGTCGGTGCTGAACTTGACGTAGTCGGCCGCCATCTCGAACATGCGCAGGTGCAGGTAGGTGATTGGCGAGAAGGAGCCACAGGCGACCAGCAGCAATGGCGTCTTCTCCGGGTCGTCCATTCGGCGCTTCAGCCGGTGTTCGGGGAACGTGTAGTCTTGCATTGGGGCCGAGGGCAGCGGGGAGGGGGTGCGCAGGACATCGTCCCCTACTCCGGGCGTGTTGTTGTTGATGGAATCGGTCATTGTGGTTTCGGTGGTTTCGGGGAAGTTGGTAGGGCTGGCTGGCTGGCGAGCGGGCGGGCTATGCTCTCCGGATGAGAGCGGGTTGATGGTGGGGGTGTGATCGAATGGTGGTATGGGTGTTCTGTGTTCTGGGATGCGGTTTTATTGTAGGGAATTTATGTTGGTTGGCTGGGTAAGTTGGTAAGGGAGTGAGTGAGTCAGGTAGTGAGCAGAGAGAGGGTAAGATGGAGAGAGAAAGAGAAAGATGGCCGGTGAAGTGAAGAGGATTGGAATGGATGGAGGATGAATGCGGGCGGCGCAAAGAAGGGCGGTTTAGTCAGCGTGGGGAGGGCGGCGGGCGGGGAAAAAAGAGAAACCAAAGCACACGGCAAGAGAAAGACCTGAGAAAGAAAAAAAAAAAAAAAAAAGCGACCAAGATGGACGCTCGGTGTGTCGAACACTGTAAAACTACTCCAACCTAGTGGTGATGAGGTGATTCTCTCTCCTAATCGGGGAGATTTTGCCGCCTAAGGCTGATTCACTTCATTAGAATAATCAATAATATTAATATTTCCAGTGTATTATACTCTGGTGTTTACTTTCACATCCTATTGAGGCTCGTTTCCAATTGATCTTATTATTGAGTATACAAGGGAGACAATGTATGGCTTCTTGTTGCCTGCCTGGTCGCATGGGCTGCCTTCAAATCTCCGCCCGTGCCTCGGACTTTAGGCTCAATTTCTAGGCACCCACTTAGGAAGCGAGCAACTCCTTCTCCGAATGAGGACATTCTTTCCCCGACTGGACTAGATCTTCTTAGTCTTATGGAGAATGAACTGAACCACCGCTGAGGGGAAACTCCCCCACTCCGTTTCTCCGGGAGGGACACTACTGTATGTCAACACAACCACAAAACCATAAAACTACCAACGCATGCTTCGATCTTCAAGATTCAGTCATGATCGAGTCTCGACCTCATTTCTGAATCCAACTCAATACCACTGCCGGCGGTATGATGGCCATGGTCATGTCTCGCCCTTTGGTCTTGTCGCTCAAACCGAGCAAGGCCTTGCTGTCCCAACATCCCCACTCAGCCAGTCTGTAAGGGATAGCGATATCAGCAACAAGCCACATTGAGAACTGTGGCGGTTGCCGCCATTCCCTTCCATGCAAGACTGAGTTTCGGTAGAGAGAAGAAGAATGAATCCACATATATCCTCGGCCAATGCGGGTGTGATAAGGACCCCGCGCGTTGATGCAGTCATCCGCATGGCCCTCGCCCCTTGCGCTCTTCTGCACTTCTGCATCTCGATGAGAATTGCCGATGCCACCATTGCGTGCTGGGACTACGTGGTCCTATTTGAGACAGTGGTGAAGTGAAGTGGTGAGTACCGGGTTGTCGGTCCATGTTCTGAGACAGGCCTTCAGTTATGTCAGGCGCAGACCCGATTGCTCCCATACCTCGGTTTATAGTGACTACAAGCTCGATATCCATTCACTAAAGCACGGAAGAACTACACAGGTCACCCGCGGATAAGCAGGAGCCCGGGCGCATTTTTCATGACGTTACTTTTTACAGGACTTCTATTGAAACCCACGATCAGATCCACGATCACTCCTGAGTCGCACTGATCTCGTGAGAATTAGCCTTGTTAGTAATCAGACTCGGCTGGAGCTTCAGGTGCCGAGTATACGAACAATGGATAGGTAAGGAAGAGAGCCAGCAACAAAGCTCATTCATCATGCAAACCACCCAGGTTTTTGGAGCGGTAGCATCGATCTAGTTATTCTCTATCGTAAATCGTGGTAATTAGTGCAGTGAAGCAGTGCAAAGGCTTCGGAGTATGACAGACAGTATGATGTTGGTAGTAGTTGCACTCGGGTAGTCTGTCGCTCTCCGGACCGCCATCACCGCCCGGCACCCACCACGTCAATCAGTCAATCTTCCCCCTCATCCCCCCAACTTCATCCATCAACTTCTCTTGTTCTCCTACACACTTTCTTCCTTGGTGTGAATCACATCCACTTTTGAAATCCCTATAATTGTTTCTGCTTGTATCCAGACTTAAACCTTAACATTACATTGCACTTTGACCTCCGGGTCCTCAGCCGCCCGCCTGATCGGCTCTCACCGAAACTCACCCCGGATCGTCGACGGAAGCCCAGTCTATTCACCCAACCCAACCCCCCCAAGCTCACTCACGGTCAACAGTTCCGACAGTGAACGAATGGCGGGTTGAACGGCGTCAACTGACGAGCGAGCCCTCCTTAACTAGCTCTGGTTAGCAATCGACATATGGCCAAACAAAGGCCCAATTCTCACCGCCAGGACCCTTTAGAGGACGCTTCCGCTCTTCCATCCACTGAACTCTCCGCCTCTGCCGCCAGGTACATATCACTTCTATCTCCCTTAAAGCCTCCCCACCATCAGTTCCCTTCTGTCGTGTCTGGCGTCTGGATTTCAGCCCTGGCTTCTTTTCTGAGTCCTCGCGACTTGGCCAACCCTTCCCCAACAAGCTTCAACACCCCGGTCCGTCCGAGTATAGCGGTATCCGCGGAGGCGGCTCCGACAAGCTGTGCATGCGGTCGAGTCTTTTGACTGCGTGTCGGTTTCCTGGACTCAACGTCGATTTAACCCTTAAACATTTCTCTTCCACCGTCATACCGATCACACTCTCCTGTCTAATTTCCAACTCTCTTTAATTTTTCATCATTTGCTGGAAGTGAACACCTTCTCATGTCCTCCAGGGTTACTCGTTCTGCTGCGAGATCAGCTGCAGAACCTCACCCGTCTACCAGCGCCGGCTCTTCTCCCTCGAATCCCGCCGCTGGTTCGGCGTCGACTCGGAAGCGCAAGGCCCCTCGTCCTGACCAGCCCGTGGAAGCCTCCGACCCAATAAACCACTCATCTACTCCTCGGAAGAGCAAACGACAGCGCCGTGCAGCCTCTCCTCCCACCCCGGCAGCACCTCCAGCAGCTTCTACTGCTGCCACCCGTCGCGGCACTCGCAACCGTCCAGCTACTATGTCCCAATCCGGGTGAGTCGCACCTAGAACTGTTTCCTCGTCACAGTGAATGTACTGACTGCGAACTCTGTAGTTCATCCTCGCGGCCCACGGAGGATCCAACCAAGACTCAAGTTTCGCCTTCAACATCTCGGCGGAAGTCTAACAAGAGCGGAAGGTCGGAAGGTGAGAGCAGAAACCCCGAGTGGAGGAAAAGTGGTGGATGAGAATTGACACTCTGCTACAGATCGTACCTCGACCACCCAGTCTCCAGCGCGCCGGCAAAAGAAGCGTCCTTCCAAGATTGATCCCGATGTGCTGATGAGAGAGGCCGAAGAGGAATTGGAGGAGCAGGACCACATTGAAGAGCACGAATCGTCGCCGCCAAGTGATAACCATGAAGGCACCATTCCGTCGACCTTGGACGATGACGACGACGACGACGACGACGACGATGATGACGATGATGCGGACCTCTTCCACAACAGTTTGTTCGGGGCTCGAGGCCACCTAGGCCTTCAGAGTACCCTACGGGCTCTAAGCGGCATGATGTCGGGCATGTCCTCGCGCTTGCGCGATATTCTGAACAACTTGAGGATGAAAGATGACCCCTCCATTCAACTGATAGCTCTTCAAGAGCTCTCGGAGCTACTACTAGTCTCCAATGAGGACAACCTGTCAGGCCAGTTCTCTCCGGACCCTTATGTGAAGGAATTAGTGGCCCTGATGCAACCAAACGACTTTGGCGAGGAGAATCCAGAGATCATGCTCCTTGCGTGTCGCTGCTTGGCCAATCTGATGGAGGCCCTTCGTGGCTCAGTGGCCAATGTTGTATATGGCGGGGCTGTTCCGGTTTTGTGCCAGAAACTATTGGACATTCAATTCATTGACCTGGCCGAGCAAGCTCTCAGCGTAAGTTATGCTCTGCACATTCTTCACACATGCGTGCTAACTAGCTATGATAGACTTTAGCCAAGATTTCGGTCGATTTCCCTGCCTCGATCGTGCGGGAAGGTGGTCTGACAGCCTGTTTGACTTACCTCGACTTCTTTCCTACCAGCACGCAGCGTACGGCCGTGACAACTGCTGCCAACTGCTGCCGCAACCTACCCCACGACTCATTTCCAGTTGTTCGTGATGTGATGCCGACCCTGCTCAACGTGCTCTCCAGCAACGATCCCAAGGTGGTTGAACAGGCGTGCCTTTGTGTTTCGCGGATCGTTGAGAGCTATAAACACAAGCCGGAGAAGTTGGAGGAGCTGATTGAACCCGCCATGCTGAAAGCTGTACTTCGATTGCTTCTGCCCGGAACCACCAACCTCATCGGGTCGCATATTCATACTCAGTTCCTGCGTGTACTCGCGATCATCTCCAGAGCCAGCCCTAAATTGTCCGTGGAGCTGCTCAAAATGGACGTGGTCGACACTTTATACCAGATCCTGACGGGCGTGTCGCCTCCGGCCAACCTGGACGATACGGCTATGAAGATGGACAGCGTATTGGTCATGCAAGCATTGATCCACCGTCCCAAGGAACAGGTTTTTGAGACTCTTGATGTCATCTGTGAGCTGTTGCCTAGCGTCCCGAGCCGGCATGTCCCACAGCTCGAAGGTTTGATCGGGCCCAGTGGCATTTCCAAGCATCCTAAGGCGCAAGAGACGGCCGAGAGACGGCGCGAATTGCTGCTGGAATGTAAAACGGAACTCAAGCGGTTTGCCATGATACTGCTGCCGACTTTGACCGATGCTTACTCCAGTACTGTCAATTTGGAGGTTCGCCAGAAGGTTCTCACCGCTCAACTCAAGATGCTTCACAATTTGGACGTCGGTTTGATTGAAGATGCTCTGAAATCGGTCCCTTACGCATCTTTCCTAGCAGCGATCCTCTCCCAGAACGATCACCCCACGCTGGTGTCTCACGCTATTCGTTGCGCAGAACTCCTGTTCTTGCGCCTGGAACATGTCTATCGGCATCAATTCCATCGTGAAGGCGTCATCTCCGAGATCATCAAGCTTGCTCAGCAGCCGTTGTCTACCAACAAGCTAGAAAAGCAGACTGGCGATGCCACCACCAAGGACACCGCTAAGGAAGAGAAGCCCGCTGCGGAAGCCCCCGCCCAGGTTAGTTCTGTTTTGGGCTCAGACGACGAGGATGGGCACGACGACGATGAAGCAGAAGATGACTATGATGAGCCGGAGGACGAAGATAACGATGACACCTCCGAAAGCTCGTCGTCAGCCTCAGGCCAACTCGTTGCTAACAAAATCGCCAATGCAATGAAGGATCTCGTAATTCGCAACGCCCAGGGCTTTGTCAGTCAATACGAAGCTAGTCAAGGCAAGGACATGCGAGATAAGGCCTTGGAGATTCTCAAAGAATTGCAAACTCTTGCTTCCGACCTCGAGGCCTCCTACTCGGGCGATGAGACCGACGACGGCCTTTCTCTCTTTAAAAAGTTGGCAACTTACTTTGACGGCGATGCACTGGAGAGCATCACTAGCTCGGAGCTGCTGAATTCTGGCATCATCACAGTTCTTCTCAAGGTCTTTGGGGATTTCCAATGTAAGAGGCTTGCCCTTACCCGCTGATATGTGCTAACTGTATCTAGCTACGTCTATGCGCGAAGCTCGTGCCGCGTTTTTGCAAGCCTTCATGGGGTCGACCATATCGGAAAAGGCCCAGAGCCAGAGTACTGCCACTACCCCCTTCAGTGTGCTCATTCAGAAATTGCAGGATTTGCTCAGCAGGACTGAGCATTTTGAGGTCACCACCGTCAGTCACAATTCACTGGAGAATACGCGTAGCAATGCCGCCTACATGCTTGGGAAGCAACTCCGATTGAAGCTTGTGGCAGATGAGGACTCCGACATCCCCAGGACCTATCGCAACATTATGGTATCGATTCATGCCATCGCGACTTTCAAGGCCTTGGACGATTTCTTGCATCCGAGAATCAGTCTGTCTGATAGGCCAAGGCCAGCGCGTAATCACGACTCGATCCTTGCCCAACTTGCAAATGCGAATGCAGCCCGACTTCGTGAGCAAATAGCTGATGCAGAGCGCTTCAGCAGCGGTAGCCCCCAGCTGCCACGAACGTCGAGCACGACGAACAACCCGGCTAACCCTGGAGAAACTCCTGCCGGTGGTGACGAGTCTCAGTCTAGACTGAGACGATCAAGACGTCACGAAGCCGCTGCCGAAAGTGAACATGACAATGAGCCGCTCGAATGCGCAGACGAACGGCAAATGAGCGATGACGAAGATCATGATGATGAAGGCGACGACGAGGAGTTGAACGCCATTGTGGATGATCTCGATGAAGACCTTTCGGACGATAATGCCCAAGACCCTACTGCTGTCAACATGGAGGTCGCATCTTCCGGCAAGGTGACTGCTCGCAAAGAGGATGGCACCCGTGTAGCTACACCATCGCAGACGCCTGCTTCCAAGTCAACGACATCAGCACCGAGCGCCGCCCCGAACCCCTCATCCGGTAGCTCCTTGGCAACGGCAGGTCGACCGTTCTCGTCTTATGCGGCTGCCATGGCCTCGATCCCTTCAGACTGGCACATCGAGTTTAGCATTGACGATCACCCTGTGTCTAGTGATACCACCATCTACCGTGCAGTGCATCACAATCGTCAGCATGTCGACCCAAGCGTGAAGAACGTTTGGTCGGCAGTCCACACAGTCAAATTCCGGCGTGTCCCAGGGCCGCCTCCTCCTGAACCCTCATCTATCACTCAGGGAGGCTCTGTCTCTGCCAAGGCCGAGGGTGAAGAGATGCCGGCTTCTCTCAGTCAAGGTCCCACGACTGCGATGATCCTCCAGCTTCTCCGTGTCTTGCACGAGATGAATGCCACTCTCGACGATATCATTGCGGAGACTAAAGAGCTGGTCGCACTGAAGCCGGAGCCATTGGCCCAATTCATCAACACTAAGCTGACTGCCAAGCTCAACCGACAATTGGAAGAGCCTCTCATCGTGGCGAGTAGCTGTCTCCCTAGCTGGAGCGAGGATCTTGCCCGCCTCTTCCCATTCTTGTTTCCGTTTGAGACGCGACACTTGTTCCTCCAGTCAACTGCGTTCGGCTATTCGCGCGCGATGATGAGGTGGCATAATTCCCAGAACGGCGATGACAGCCGCAATGACAGTCGGCGCGATGACCGACCTATCCTCGGTCGCTTGCAGCGGCAGAAGGTGAGGATCTCAAGAAGCCGTATCTTGGAGTCTGCCATCAAAGTGATGGAGCTCTATGGGTCCTCTCCGAGCGTGCTGGAGGTTGAATACTTTGAGGAAGTCGGTACCGGGTTGGGCCCTACTCTTGAGTTCTACTCCACCGTCTCGAAAGAGTTCTCGAAGAAGAAGCTGAAGATCTGGAGGGAGAACGATTGCGCCTATGGCGAAGAGTACGCGTTTGGCAAGCGCGGTCTGTTCCCTGCGCCCATGAGTGAGGCACAGACTGCATCGGAAGCCGGTAAGAAGCAACTGCACTTGTTCAGGATTCTCGGAAAGTTTGTTGCCCGGTCAATGCTCGACTCTCGAATCATCGACATCTCGTTCAACCCAGCCTTCTTCCGCATTGCCGACAGCTCATCCTTCGTTGCGCCGTCGCTTGGCACCGTGAAGGCTGTTGACCAGGATCTGGCGAACTCGCTGATGTTGCTGAAGCGCTACGCCAATGCGAAGAAGGCCATCGAAGAGGACAGAGGGCTGTCTGTAGCTCAGAAAGCTCACGCTCTCCAAGCCGTTGAAATTGATGGGGTCAAGGTCGAGGACCTAAGCTTGGATTTCACACTACCTGGATATCCAGCTATTGAGTTGATCAAGGATGGTTCGAACATCCCAGTGATGATCGACAATGTGGATCTGTATGTGGACCGAGTGGTGGATATGACCTTGGGCAGTGGGGTCCAGCGTCAAGTAGAAGCCTTCCGAGCGGGCTTTTCCCAGGTCTTCCCTTACTCGGCTCTGCGAACCTTCACTCCCAACGAACTGGTCATGCTGTTCGGCCGCGCCGAGGAGGATTGGACTATTGAGAGTAGGTGTTTCCCCAAGGATGTATCAGAGCACCCCGCTAACCTCGGTTCTAGCCCTGATGGACTCCATCAAAGCCGACCATGGCTTCAACATGGACAGCCGGAGCGTGCGGAACTTGCTTCAGACGATGAGCGAGCTGAATGCACAACAACGACGAGACTTCTTGCAGTTTGTGACCGGCAGTCCCAAGCTCCCGATTGGCGGTAAGGAGTTACAATGTCCTGAACGGAAGATCAGTTGCTAATGTATACTATCTAGGCTTCAAGAGTCTCACTCCGATCTTCACGGTGGTCTGTCGGCCCAGCGAGCCGCCATATACCCCCGACGACTACTTGCCTAGTGTCATGACCTGTGTCAACTATCTGAAGCTTCCCGACTACAGCAGCTTGGACACGCTTCGCGAGCGACTGTCTGTTGCCATCAAGGAGGGCCAGGGTGCATTCCATCTGTCGTAGAAAAGTGGTGAGGGAGCCTCAAAGGAAAGTGGTTCGTTGATGGAAAATGATTAGGACCAATTGCATTTGTTTGTGTGTTTTTTTTTCTCGGTTTTCGGGTGGGCATTTCAGGGTGTGAGTTGATTCTCATGTGTATTTTGAAGGGGAAAAGGAGTTTCCAGGCGGGACCTTCTCCGTATTGGTTGAATTTAGATAGAAATGCAAATATGGCGATGGTGAGATGACCGTGTAAAAGCTGTTTGTTACATAAATTGGTCTATGTATGTGTATGTGTATGTGCATGTGTCTATGTCTATTTTGTCTATGTCTATCTTGGTCTATATCTATGTTGGTGTATATCTATTCTCAGAATGAAAGACAACGCCGGGTATTATACGACTTCTCCCTGTACTCCTCCTTGCACTGCATTTCTCCTCTGTCCTTGCCCGCACTGCAACCCACCACAATATCACCGGTATCAATTCCGATACAACGGCACCATAGACTATATCGAATCCCGGTCAGCCACTACCCCGATTCTCCGGGCATTCAATCTCATTCCAGACAAGAGCGAGAAGATGATGAGGATGGAACTTACCTCCGCAAACTTCGGCTCAACAAACAACGCCCGCGCCTCAGCCACCATCGTCCCTTCTTTTTCTTCCTCCTCCACCAGCTCCCCAGATGCACGGCGTGGCGGCGGCAACGCAGTCAACGACCCCTCGACCCACGCCTTCCGGCCCTCGACCCGCACCGTCTCCGCGCGCAGCACATACACGCGGTCCGGCCGCGCGGGCTTCCGGAAGTCCACGCTCAGGTTGGCCGTCATCCCGACGCCGCTGGGGAAGGAGGCCGCCACGCAGCGCGCGAACGTCTCGTCGAACATCACGCTCAGCAGGCCGCCGTGCACGTACCCCGGGTGGCCGTTGAGGGTGGTGCCCAGGTGGAAGAGGGAGATGGTTTGCGCGAGCGGTGGTTGGGCCTGTGGGGGTTGGGTTTGGGTCTGCGGTGTTGGCTGGGGGGTGGGCTTGCTCCGCGTGAAGACGTACGGCGGCACGGTGACCTTGTGGGCGCCGGAGAGGGTGCCGGCGACGAAGTGCGCGGCGCGGTGCGTGGGGATCATGGACAGGTGCGGCCGGGTCTCGGTATAGCTTTTGTCCTGGCGGAGGGTGCGCAGGAGCGGGTGTCTGGTGAGTTGGGTTTCGGCTTGGGTTACTTCGGGGTGTGAGGGGTGCGGTGGCGCGGGGTAGGCTTCGGTGGGGAGGGGGTTTGTGGGTGTGGTTGTTGTGGTTGTGGGTGTGGTTGTTGTTGCGGTGGCGGAGGTGGGCGTTGCGGAGCGGAGGGTCCGGGTTGGGTGTTTGGGGATAGGGGAGGTGTTGGGGGTTGTGAGGGTTGGTAGGAGGTTGTGAGGGTGGTTGGGTTGGTGGTGAGGGCGCGCGAGGAGGCGGGTCAGGGGTCGGAGGGGTCGGAGGTGCGACATTTTGCGTTGTGCTGAGGTTCTGGATAGGATTCGATACGGTGGGTGTGGGTTGTTGCTTGCGAGGCTGGATTTATAGGGTCTGGTTCAGGTGCAGGTGGTGACTCCTGGTGTTGACTGCGATGACTCTGGGTTGGGGTCGTCAGCGTCAGTTAGGGTCTTATCGATTTGCGATTGCGATGATGTGATTGTCGTACGGGTGTTGACGGTGTTGATTGATCTGGGAATGTGCTGATGATGCCATTGGGATGCGCGATGTTGTACTTACTGTCTAGATAGCTGCCTGGTCGTCTCTGGCAGGATTATAGCTTTGAGGTTGAAGTGACTCTATTCAGAAAGGAAAGAAGAAAAAAAAAAAAAAAAAAAGGAAGAAAAAGCCTGGCGCATCCCAACGGAGTGGATCATACTTCCTATCTCGGTAAGCCCACGTGGGATCCATGGACCCGGCACATCGGGTGCAATCCGCCCAATGAAACCCCTAGAACTCTGTACGTGGGCGGGTGTTCCGCGCCAGAATTCCGGGTGGGGCGCTTCTCGGCTCGGCTTCGAGGTCGGGCGGGATACTTATACTTGGGGTGTGGATGAGGTCATCTATCGGCTTCAGTGTGAACATCCTTGCCGGGGACTTTGGCCATATAGGTTACATACCAAACACGGAGACACTTTATCATGTATGGTGCCTTTGCGACGAGATATGTGCAATGAGCCTCCAAAATCACTTGACCACGCGTGACTTTATCTAGCATCTAGAAAACGGAACTTGGATTGGAGATAGCAGTACTTTATAGGAGTCAGTCATGCTACGCATACCTGGCTACACATATGTTGTCGTCGGCGGGGTTCAGGATGAAGAGGGAGAGATGAAGACTTTCAGTGCGCTGGTGGCATGTGGTAGTAGGGCGGATCCAGACGCTGCTTGCTAGAGCGCCATTTCCATCCATAGCTCCTTCCAAGTCTCATGCATCTTCTTGTTATCACATCCCCAACGCGCGCGCTATAGATATCGTGTCTTCTGACCAGTTTTCGAGACCCATTTTCTTCCATCGGTCCATGATCGCCAATTTATGCCTGCTTAGTTGTCATATTTGAGGTTCAAACCCCATGGTACCAAGATCAAAACAGCCCCACTAGCACTCAGCACACTAGCTGCAAATCCAAAGCTCATGTTCTGGAACATCTGCTGTGATATTAAGGGGAACAACCCTCCCAGCATACTCCGACCAAAGCTCTGCGCAGCCAACGCCGAGGTCGTTTAGCGATGATGCGTGTCTGCCAGATAGTTGAAAACAGACAGGTAAATGGAGAAAGTCACTCCAGTGGAAATGCACATGGCCACCGAGGTTAATTAGGACTGAGTCACCGCGCAGCATGCTCGACATACAGTGGACAGGATAAGCTGTAACAACTAGCAGCCAAGTAGTGAGCAAGCTTAACATACAGCAGACGCCTGTTATCACCCTCTCATAACAGGGGAACCAGTCAAATGGGAATTGGATGGGTATCAGGTTTGGGGGAGTAATGTTACTTGGACCAAGTGGCCAGGGGATGTTAGTCCCATAGGTGAGGTCCTCGTGCAGTTGCTGATGTTCCGTTTTTGCGCTTCGAAATGGAAATATGTGTCGCGACAAGTGGGATGAGCTCATAGAGTTGAATCTGATTACACAAGGGGCAAACTCGGCGGAGGTTGGCGTAACCAACTTCTTCAAAGAGACATGAGGTACCCATCTGGCTCTCGTGTATCAAAAGTTCTCTGCCATGTATTGCGCTGTTTCCATGCGGACCCATTCTACACAATTTGTACCTGACTACCCGGCGACCAAGAAGGCTACTATATCAAGGCAATGACATGGAACAAGCATATATGTTAACGAAACTGTACACTGTCTACTAGGTATATACATGCATCAAGTAGAGTTGCTTCTCCTCTTCATCTTCCCCATTGATTAGAACTCCAACGCGTCCACCTGCCCCAAGAACGAACTGTTGCCCTCGCCACGCAGCAGCGCTTCGATGTCCACCCGTCCCGAGGTGAGATAACGCTCACTCACACCCACGTTCACCCGCTGCGACAGCAGCTGCTTTAACTCCGCCCTCATGCTGGCCATCTCGCCCTTGCTGGTCTCGCCAGCCTTGCGCTGCCGCTCCTGACGGCCTTTACCGCGACCGCGACCGCGGCCCGCCGACTCGTCGAACTCTTCACTGTCGTAGTCGACGCCCAGGTCTTCTGCGGCGTTGCGGAGCCAGTTGTCCTCCGCAGAGATCTTCTCCTTGGCGATGGATGAATCCGCGATCTTCGCCGCCAGCTTGACGCGGGGCTTGACGCGACCCACGACCCGGCGGTCCAGCTCGAGGGATTCGAGCGGCACCTTCTTGCGGTTCGCCATGTTGGCGTGCACCTTGGCCGCCAGGCGGATGACGCCCTGCATCTCCTCGGGGGAGCAGATGAGCACGCTCTTGCCCGAGGCACCGGCACGGGCCGTACGACCAGACCGGTGCACGTAGGTGTCGGCGGTACGGGGCGCATGGTAGTGGATGACGAAGTCGATGCCCTTGATGTCGAGACCACGCGCCGCCACGTCGGTGGCAACGAGGATCGAACTGGGGTCGGAGGTGGGGGATGAGAAGCGTTCCACGGAGCGCAGACGGGCCTTCTGCGCCATCGAAGAGTGGAGGGCCAGCGCGGGGAGTTGCAGGTTCTGGAGGAACTGTGTGAGACGGCGGACGGCCGAGATGGAGTTAGTGAAGACGAGGGTGCGGTGCTTGGGGTGGTAGAGAAGTAGCGTGTAAAGGAAGAGGTCCTGAGGTCATTAGCGAGTTGATTATTTGACGGGAGTGTTGTTGTAGGCTTACCTTTTCCATCGCTGCACATTCGACAATGCCTTCTTTCAGTCCCTCGGCCATCTGCGAGACGGGGTTGACATCAATAAACTTGGGCTTCTCTTCCCGGAAGTTCAGCTTCTGTAGAAGGTATTCCATAGACTCCTTCTTGTCCATGATATCACCGCTCGTCCAGCGTCCCTTGCCGGCAAGCTTCTGCTGCAAGTCCCGATGGAAGGTAGCAGAGAAGACCAGGGTCTGCCTCTCGTTCTTTTTCTCCTCCTCGGTCGCTTCCTTCTCTTCGTACTGGAAGTCTCCATCCACTACGCGGTCAAGGGTAGTGATGATCTCGTTTGCTTCCTTGAAGTGTCCTTCGCTGAGCAATCTATCCGCCTCATCGATGACAAGGAACTTGATACCTTGCATCTTGCGAATCACACCCTGGCCCGTGCTCATAACCTCCCAAACTCGACCCGGCGTTCCGACCACAATATCCGCACTAGCCAACAAGCGCTGCTGTTTCTGCAAGGACAGACCTCCCGTGAGGAGGGCGATGCGTGCATTGGCGCCTGGCGACTGCTGTACCAAGTCACCAATATGCTTGGCCAACTGATGTGCGAGTTCGCGAGTGGGCGAGAGAATCAGGGCAATGGGTTCCGTGTCTTCCTTCTTCTTCTGGGTGCCATTACGCAGTTGCGTGCGCTTGATCTCCAGGTAGTGCTCCAGGATCGGAATACCGAAGGCCAAGGTCTTTCCGGAACCTGTTGATGCCTTTCCTACCACGTCGTGGCCGTCGAGGATGGGAGGAATGCAGGACTTCTGGACCAGAGTAGGCGTAGAGAACTTCAGCTTCGAAAGACCGGTAAGCACTTCCGGAGAGAGTCCCAGTGACTCCCACTCGGAAATATCCACACCATTATCCTCCTCCTCGTCCTCGAGAGCCGCGAAAGAAAGACCAGACTTGATGCTCTTGTCCTCTTGATTCGGGGTTCCCTTCTTGCTCTGCTCGATTTTCTGTTTTCTTGCTTCCTTGGCTTCCTGCCGCTTCTTGTCCCTCTTCTCCTTCCTCTTATCCTTGGCTTCTTGCTGCTTGTCCTTCACAGGGGACTTGGTAGCCTCTTCCTGCTCTTCATTTTGATCTTCCGTAGCTGGTGCTTCCGTCTTCTCCTTCTCCGAGGTCTCGTTATCGCTGATTCCAGTCCATTCGTCGTCGAATTTCGCTTCCTCTTCTTGCTCTTCCGCGGTCTTCTTCTTCAGAATCGACTTTTGTGGTTTGCCAGGGGCAGCCTGCGAACGTCAATTTCATTGTCTACAGCTAAATAGAAGCTCGAAGTCATACCTTGAACCTGATTTCACCGCTTGCCTTGATGACGTCCACCCCGTCAATCTCCTCTAGTCCGAAGAAGCCTCCTGCATCCTCCATACGATCGGGGAGCGCAACCTCCTTCCAGTTGAGATCGTTCACAGTGATAACGTCCGCATTGGCGCTCTTCTTCTGCTTCTTTGTCTGGACATCTGCGCCCTTGGCATCGCGCTGCCGCTTTTGACCCATAATGACACACGACGACTGGGAATTCTCAAGCGAACAATCACCTCCGCGACAAGTGAATAGAAAAAGAAGTTGATGGAAAGGAAGATGGATAGGCAGGGGAGCGGGCCTGCGAAACCTGCGGGAAAGAAAAAAAAGCGGCAGAAAAGGGCCGCCTTGGGAATCTTATCGCCGCCCCACACGCAAAGACCGAAAGAAATTCCGCCCATCTCCCCCTCCATTGCCTGGATCCGACTTTACACTTCCCACCCTTGACTTCAATTGCATTGTCCACGGTCTGACTCAGTATGGGTAAATCCTCCAAGGACAAGCGCGATGCCTACTACCGCCTGGCAAAGGAGCAGAATTGGCGCGCCCGCTCCGCCTTCAAGCTGATCCAGATTGACGAGCAATTCGACCTATTCGAGCACGAGAACCCGGAGAAGGTGACCCGCGTCGTCGATCTGTGCGCCGCCCCCGGCAGCTGGAGTCAGGTCCTGAGTCGCGTGTTGATCAAGGGCGAGAGCTTCGGGCGCCGCGCCTGGGTTGAGAAAAAGCGCCGGGAGAAGGAGGCCCTCGAACGGGTCCAGAGCGAGGGAAGCAGCACCGAGTCACAGTCTGCGAACGAGGACGAGACGACAACGGAGGAAGAAGAGCTGAAGCCGCGCAAGAACGTCAAGATCGTCTCGATCGATCTGCAGCCTATGGCCCCCCTGGAGGGCATCACGACCCTCAAAGCCGACATCACCCACCCCTCCACCATCCCTCTCCTCCTACGAGCCCTGGACCCCGAAGCCTACGAATCCACCACTACCAGCAGCGCTGACAACTCCTCCCCCTCCACCACCCCTTCCCCGACCGCAGTCCGACCTCCGCACCCCGTCGACCTGGTCATCTCCGACGGCGCCCCCGACGTGACCGGTCTCCACGACCTCGACATCTACATCCAATCGCAACTCCTCTACTCCGCCCTCAACCTCGCCCTAGGCGTCCTCCGCCCCGGTGGCAAATTCGTCGCCAAGATCTTCCGCGGCCGCGACGTGGATCTCCTGTACGCGCAGCTGCGCACCGTCTTCGAGAAGGTCAGCGTCGCCAAGCCGCGGAGCAGCCGCGCCAGCAGTCTGGAGGCCTTCGTGGTCTGCGAGGGCTTCATCCCGCCGTCCATCCACGACGGATTGAAGGGGATGGAGGCGCTCAAGAACCCGGTCTTTGGCGGTGTCGCTGTGACGTCTCCTACTTCCTCCGCAGCCGGCGATAACGTGGCCGTCGAGGTGACGGATGAGACCCCCTCGGCGCCCGTGCAGGTGAACCACCCGGCCCCAGCCAACACGATGCTCAACAACGACGACACCGCGCGCCTGCTCCACCCGGAGTCGTTGGCTTCTTCCGCTGTCCCCGTGCCGTTGGCGTATAAGCCCCTCGCCGAGAAGTTCTCCGTCGAGAACCGCTGGATCCCGCGCTTCATCGCGTGCGGGGATCTCTCGGCGTGGGACTCGGATGCCTCGTATGCCCTGCCGCCGGACCACGTTAGTCTCGACCCCGTGCAGCCGCCTACGGCGCCGCCCTATCGGCGGGCGTTGGAGCTGAGGAAGGAGAAGGGTGGAGCTTACGGAAAGACGAAGCTGGGGGCCATGGGTCGGGCTTGAAGGACGTCGCCCATGTCGGATAATCCTTTCGCGTTGGGGTTGGAGTACTTGGGTTGATTTGTGTGTGTGTGTGTGTATATGGTATGTTACGATGTGTTAGAATTGTTCATGTCTACGGCTGCTTGCTTTTCGTTTTGGCTGCACGAAAGTTAGATTTCTTTCCTTTGGGTGCGCGTGTGGGGTCGGTCGTTCGGGGACGATTTGAGGATCTCAAAAAGATTATAGCAGATATACCCCATAGATGTACAAATTATGGAAGAGTTGGCTTTTGTTAGACTGCTTTGAAAGTAGACTCGAGCTCACTTAATTCCAGAGCAGATGACCTGTTACTGCAACATATAGGTGCCTGCAACGTACTGGGAGTGCTATTGTCCGGGTCTTGGGCAAGAGACCAATCCTAGCATGAATCGATGGATGAAGGCAATTATAGTCTACTTGACTGAACCTGATTGAACACTGAACTGATTGATTTGACAAGTCTATCCAAGTAAAATCCTGTCGGATGTTCTAGATGCGAAATAGCGCTAAACTCAAACAGGAAGGCCAGCTCATCGGCTGACCCTCGTGCTTTTGAAAATATACAGAAAGCGTTTCATCCTTTTTACCATCATCACATCCCATCGTCAACTCTAGTACACCTCCAAGACGTATCTCTCCTCGTCCTTGAGCTTCTCGATCTCCTTGTGGGGCTCGACCTTTTTGCCCTGGGCCTTGGCCTCGATGGCGATGGCTTCCTCGAGGACGGCGGTGACGTCGGGCACGGGCCAAGTGGGGCCGCAAAGGTAGAATGCACCCTCCTCGCGGATGTAGGCCTGGACAATCTCGGGCAGCGTCTGGCGCATGCGGTCCTGGATGTAGATCTTCTCGGGCTGGTCACGGGAGAAGGCGCGACCGAGGACGGTGATGACCCCGGCCTCCTGGTAGGCCTCCCACTCCTCACCATAGCAGTACTCCTCGCGCTGGTGACGAGAGCCCATGTACAGGAGAACGGCGCCGATCTCCTTGCCCTGGGCCTTCTCGAGGGCCCGGTGCTGGACAAAGGCACGGAAAGGGGCCAGACCGGTTCCCAGACCAGCCATGATCAGGGGCTGAGTGGACTTGGGAGGCAGCTTCATCACACTGGACTTGACGCTGACGGTGATAGGGGTGCCGGGTTGCAGGCGGCTCAGGTAACGGGTCGCCTGGCCGAAGCGGTCACGGCCGCGGGGATCGGTCCAGGTAACGGCGACGATCATGAGAGCCACGGTGGTGGGGGTGACCTTCTGGCACGAGGCGATGGAGTACTCACGACGCTTCATGGGGCCGACGATGCGGATCAGGTCGTGGAAGTCAGGGTGGGCAGAGGGGTATTCCAGAAGGATGTCAGCGAAGCTGACAGTGTCGACCTCAGCACGGCGCTTGAACTCCACGGCACCTTCGGGGCCACCGAGGGTGCGGAGATCGGTCTTCTCCTTCTCGTCATCGGCGAACTCGGCAAGGGCTTCGTAGAAGCGCTTGGGAGGGCGACCGAAGATATCGATGTTCTGGACCAGCGCCTGGTAAACAGTGCGGTTCTCAAGAACAGCGGGGTCCTCACGGCTGGGCACCTCGACAATGTCATCGGCGTTGAGGCCATAGAATTTGATGAACTCAAGAACATCGTTGCTGTCGTTCTCAGCGTGGACACCCAGTGCCTCACCGATATCGTACTTGAGTCCAGAGTCGCCGAGGTCGAACTCAATGTGGAAGATGTTACGGTCATAGGTGACAGGGGTCAAGCGTCTGTTCTCCTTGACGTGAACCGTGAAGGTCTTGGTAGCAAGGTCAGGACGGAGAACAGTCTTGGTCTCATAGGCCTCCTTGAAAGCCAAGCCCTTGGCAGCGGCCTCCCAGTCCTTGAGGTAGGAGGCAGGCTCGCTCTCTTCCTTGTCGAAGGCAACAAAGCTGTTGGGGGAGATGTCCTTGGGCAACTGAGGAATCTGGGCTCCCTCCTCGGGAGTTTTCCAGGACTCAGGGACTTCGATCTGGCGAAGGACCTTCTCGAGATCCTTGCTGACACTCTCTAAAGCATCAGCATTGCCCACAATCGAGGCCAGCTTCTTAATGCCAACCGACTCTTGGGTGGGCAGAGCCACGCGCAAAAAGGCGACCTGAATGACAGAGGACTCGGGGACAGACTCTCCGGCAGCGGAGGGGTCAACGAAGTAGAGGGAGATTCCGCGCTCGGCGATGGACTGTCTGAAGGCAACAGGCAGCTTCTTTTCCAGCTCATCATCCTTCACGCCAGGAGCGTTGACAATGATCTTGCCGCCGGCCTTGACAGAAGCGACAACATCAATGTCTCCCAAAAGCTTGAGGTCTCCGACGAAGGTGGTGTCGGCGGCAGTGACGGAGTAAGGAGCGTCCAGGGTCTTGGAGCTCTTGCGGATATCGACGCGGACAACTCCTCCTTGGATCAGGTTATCATGGGCCTTGCTGGTAGTGACATTGCTGGCGGAGTCGGCAGCCAAAGCCTGGGACAGAACAGTTGCGACATCACCGCCAACAGAGTTGTCAATGTCCCAGAAAGAGTATTCCTGAACAGCGGACGGGTCCAAAAGCTGGAGGGGCTCAGTCTCGGCGCCGGCCTGGACAATAGGCTTCTCGTGGATAAGCTGGAAAGCGGCGGCAGTGTTGATCAGATCCCAGCGCTGAGAGCGGGGGTACTTAATGTCCACAGCGGTCGGGGCCTGCTCACGGTCGGTAGCAAAGGTGAGGGCAGCAAGAACGTCCTCATAGAGGGCGGAACGAACACCCTGTTCTTGAACGGCCTGCTCGTTGGCAACTTGTCCCAGAACACCGACAGTCTTCACAGACTTGGGCAGCACGCGCAGGAACTCTTCTTCCACGAAGGGACGGTAGACACGGACATTCACGACACCCACGCGAACACCGTCCTTGGCGAGAGAGCGGGCAATCTGGGCAGTGAGGGATGCCTCGATGGTACCGAAGGCAACCAGAACGGAGACGGGTTCGGCATGGCCATGGTACTCGAAAAGACCGTAGTCGGTTCCGAGCTCACCGTTCAAAGACTGAAGGAGCTCCAGAAGCTTGCCCTGGTTGTCCAGGTGGCGACTGCGGGAATCCTCCAGAGTCTTACGGACAGATTCGTACGTGCGAGCAAGGCCGGCTTGATCGAGGATGTCGATGACACGAGTGTGCTCCCGGCCAACGCGCACACCGTCATAGATGTGCACGGAAGGCAGGACAGAGGCGAGCAGAGTAGTCAGGAGGGCCATGTGCTGCGATTCGTGGGCGGAGGCACTGGAAACCAGACCCAGTCCAAGCTCCTCCGCGAGGGCGAGGGCAGTGGCATAGTCGGAGACAAGGCCGTCTTCACCGGCATAGTCGACAGCGGCAACATGGGCAGCAACAGGGCTAGCCACGGAGTAGAGCAGCGAGAGTTGCTCCAACGCGGCACGCATGTAGGGAAGGGTAGCCGAAGAGGCAACGATACCCTGAGGGACGTGGCGCTTCTTCAGGTCGAAGTCCTGAGAGAAGATGTAACCGAGAGCGATGTTACCGGCACCCTGGCGAGTCTCCATGGCCTTGATCTCAGGGGATTCGCCATTGGCATTGGTCTCCTGGCTGGAAGCCCACTGGCGGAGAGCAGCATCCAGATCAAATGACTCAGGAGAGTAAGAGAAGATCTTATCACTGAGGAGGTATGCGACCTGCTGAATGAGGGTCTGGGCGGTCACATAGGTAGGACCGCTGAGGGCGGACAAGGCTGGGGAAGAGGCACCCATTGTGAGGAATTCTTGCCTGAATACCGGTGTCACACAACCGATAACTCTTGGGTGAAGACAAGAGAGAGAAAAAGAGAGAATGAGTGGAGGAAAGACGAGGGCAATGAGGGGGGGATAAAAAGCCCGTCGCCGCCGTATAGAAAAGCCCAGGGGATCATGCCTTATCCGGCTAGTGGCAATCACGCAATTTCTTATCGATAAAAAATTGGAGGGTCGGAGGCGGGACTGCTGGGCAGAATCTCTCCGCTTTCGGCCGACTTCCCCGCATTACTAATGCAAGAAACCATGGGCCTGGGCAGTGGGCACGTGAAGGGTCTTGGTGCCTGAGGCAAGAGAACCCAATTAGTGATGGACCCGCTGATCTCCTCAATAAACGTCATCCGCGCATTTCCTTTCAAGCTGCATTGCAGGAGATTGAATCCCACAATTTACTGTATCCAGCCACTGATCACATTCTTAATCCATTACAAACAGTCAGCATAATGGCCAACGTTGCTCTACTCGGGTCTACTGGCATGGTGGTACGTACAGTATTGAGCAAACAAGCTCTTTTTAGGCTTACGCCAAGGCCCGTGTTGTTCTCCCTTGATACATCCCTGCTCTAAGGTAGACTGTCGCGATGTATATGGGAGGTTCCGAAAAAGCGTCTGCTCACGTACATACTAATTACAATCTTCCAGGGGAGCTTCATTCTCACCAGCCTCCTCAAAAACCCCTCTATCGCCCGCGTGGACACGATCTCCCGCCGCACGCCGCAGCCTGCCACGGCCGCGCCGCAGGAGAAGCTCACCACCTTCGTCTCCGACGACACCTCCAAGTGGGCCGAGCAGCTCGCGTCGCTGACCCCGACCCCTAGCATCTACGTCTCCGCCTTCGGCACCACCCGCGCTGCCGCCGGCGGGTTCGACAACCAGTACAAGATCGAGCACGGCCTGAACGTCGAGACGGCCCGCGCGGCGCGCGACGCCGGCGTGAAGGTGTACGTGCTGATCTCCTCGTCGGGCGCCGACAAGGGCTCGTTCTTCGCCTACCCGCGGATGAAGGGGGAGATCGAGGAGGACGTCAAGGCGCTGGGCTTCGAGCGGACCGTCATCTTGCGGCCCGGGTTGATCGGCGGGCAGCGCCAGGAGAGTCGCCCAGCCGAGGCGGTGGTGCGTGGGTTCGCGGGTCTCCTGGGCAAGGTCCACTCCAGCCTGAAGGACGGATGGGCGCAGGATGCGGATGTCATCGGCCGCGCCGCTGTCAATGCGGGGTTGAAGGCGCTGGAGGGTGATGTGCCTGCGGGAAGTGAGAAGGTCTGGACGCTGTACGGGAGTGAGATCCTTCAGTTGGGTAAGGAGTAGAAAGAACGAAACATAATGGACCGGCTTCGCAGCACTGTATCACCTGGCTTTCGGGAATTGGTATATTATTAATTGTGTATTATTTTTATGTTTTGGGGATTACCAAAAACGTGATTGACGGACTGGACTGGAATAGGAGTTCCAAGTCAATTATATATCTCTTAATACAACTATGGTTACCACATACAGCTGCAAGAACTAAAACACTTCGATGGCTGGCAATTATATCACGCTTCTATACACAAAGTAGGTATGACAGAGATCTCTCTTCTATCAATACTTCTTCTTCCAATCATTCACCTCCTTCCCCTTCTTCGTTTGGCCCCGCTTGCTCGACGCCTCCCGGTCCGCGTTCCGCTCCGGGGCGCCCTCCGTGGGATCGCGCCCCTCGCTGACGCCCTTGTTGGCGCCGCTAACGTTCAACGGGTTGCTGACTTTGCCGCTCTGGTTGGTCTCCTCCTGCGTCGCCTCGATCTGGCTCTCCGGCGAGGTCTTCGAGGGGTCGAAGGCCGCGTCGTGCTGCGAGACCTCCTGGTCGGTGCCGGTCTTGGAGAACTCTGAGGGCTGCGGGTCCAGCACGTTCCGGTCGCCGGACTTCATCTCTTCGCGCTGGCCCTGAGACGTGCGGAGCGCGGGGATGGAGTGGAAGGTTCGTTGCGTCTTCGAGTTCAGGGCTGCGGCGGCCGGGGTCTGCCGAAGGGGCTGGATGATGCTGCTGCTGCTGCTGCTCTGGCGGAGAGCGCTCCTGCTGATGGATGTGATTTGTTTGAACATGATTTACGGTTGATAGTGGATTGGCTTGGCTGTAGAGTGTAGAAGAGGAGAAATGGAGCAATTGAGATATGTCGAATGGTATAGTATGTATGGTCTTGTAGTACTGGAAGCACGATGTATGAGTGTCTTTGTCGCTAGGTCAATGCGGCTCTTTTTTTGGAGAAATCTGAGGAACTTACAAATTAATGAGGACTTGAGCAGTATTAGATGGGATTGAAAAAGTATGATGGAAGAACAAGATCGATGTGGGGGAGGGAGAAAGGGAATTGGAAGGTGGAATGCCCGCCGCTCGCACCCATCATGTTGACGTCATCGGTACTGCAGAGGACATGGCCACCACGTGATGTGAATCTACCCGGCATTGTGCCATCGCAAGCAATGCATGTCTAGTTTATTCGACCCAGGAATTGACCATCTAGTTTCACGTGGATATTTACTTTGCAGAAGACAATGCGATCCGTTGAATGGTATTTTGCAGGTGAAATCAAGTGCATTTACCGCAGACTTACGGTAGCTTTACGACTAGCTTGTTCTTGACAATGCCGTATTGACGTACACGAAGAATATGCAAAGATAGTATATACCACTTGCTGTAATGCCCAATATCAGGTCGGCTAGAGTCTGCTCAGAGATGGGTGTAACACTATGAGAATAGCTGCTGAGAAGGAAACATATTTGCCGGATGGTAGAGATAGTTTCTGTAAGCCCTTGGACAAAGTCTGCCCGACATGCCACGTCAATTATCACAAACCTGACATGATCCTCGGCCGATTTTTGGAGTGTGATGGGCACAGTCCTCGTGTATCTCGGTACCAGAATTTGATATCACCTTCAAGGCGGTTCTCTCCGCTGGGACCAACACCTTCACGCAAGGCTTGCGTAGAATGAGAACCGACTAAATGCCCAGCTTGTCCACAATTGGATTGAAGCACTATGCATAGGGCCGGGTCGTTATCGACCACGCTGTGACTTGCAAATGTCCTGACTCGAAGAGTAAAGTGCAATCGTAGAACAACCCAAACATACATTGCTCGCCATTCGACCTCAAGAGGAGAGCAAGATTTATGCTAGGAGCAGGGGTCTAGACTATGCAGGACGCACCTTTCGTAGCCCAAGCCCAGAGCCCGCAGGGAAACAACTTCAGGTGCCAACTTGCAAATGCGAGGACCCGGAATTCATCCATACTAGTTTTGTTAATGCGTGTTTCTCATGGGCTCAAGATATCGCGACAGGGATCTTCTTAGCTTGCATGCACCTCCCGAGCAGCCTGTCAGCTGGTGAACTTCATTGGATATGGAGCGCTGACGCTATTTAATAGCCTTTCGAAAATGGACCAATCTCGGTCCGTGGTCTCGAAACAGCAAAGAGTGCGTTCTCACCTTAATCCCCCCAATGCCTGTTTCGCAGGTTCCATTTGTTGACTGCAAGAGAAAAAGGTACGCGCAGAAGCGCAGAAGAAGCCGGTCACGTTACAATCACGGGATCAAAGGAACCCAGCATAGTGGTGCGCGTGGGTGGGTCTCAAAATCCAATTTCAACGTCGTCAGAAGTATAAGTGAAAGTCATGGTAGCATGCAGCTGGAATTACTCGAGCTGTTGCAGCCAGAAAATCACACCGTAGTTTTGGGGGTACTGAAAGGGGATCGGCCGGTCTAGTAAGGCCATTTTTTCCAATCCGTAGGCCCCGAATCCTTGTTTCTAATGTGCAATCGCCACAGGCGAGGCTGGATTAGAAACATCCGAAGTAAGACAGCCTGCGAGAAGAGGCAGATGGGTGGCAAATCGCGCTCTGGTACCCGGTGGGAGGAAAAGTCTGCATTCAATGCACGGTGTGTTATCGATGCGATTTCATCATGGCGGTGGTCAGCCAAATCCGGCAGCTGCTGAGTTGGCAACCGCAATCAGTCCATGGATCTATGCTCGTCCACCCAGTGTAGCGGACGCCAGAGCGCACCAGCCGATGATTTGATGCTCAATGCTACAGGCAGACAAGTAAGAGCCTTTCAGGCAATCATCTTCTAGGATGCCCGGACAAGCGGAGATGTGGGAGTATTGAGCCCCTATTCGCCGAGTCGGAGGCAAGTCAAAGCGAAATCGACAGCCTCGGAGCCCTTCGAACATCGTACTGATCAGTTTCCAGTTGAGAACAGTCCCCCATCAGCACAGCAGACTTGAATCTCGAGCAATTGAGCCAGACGAAGGGTGCCACGTCAGTGAGTCTCCGAGCTCTAATGCAGCTGCATGGATTCAACTGTAGGTGCACCGTACCACAGTCGGTATCTGCCATGGCTGATGAGCACAAATGATATCCTATCGTTTCAGCAGAGCAAAGCAAGTAAATGAAGATAAACCCTGCACCTGGGTGGGGGCACATGCGGGATTATTCCTCTGCAGATGTGGGAGATCAGCTGAAGAGAATCGGTCCCTCATAGAAGCCTGAGCTCGTCATGCAAATGCAAGTCATGTTCACTCTAAAGGGTCATGTCCAAGGACAAACCAGGTGCCAATCGAGGTCTTCCAGTGACGCGTCTTTCGCCACCATGGATGGAGCGAAGAGAATTTCCTTGGTAAGTGATGACCAGACGGAAGCATGCGGAGTATACGAGACGGTCACAGGCACGAGGGTTAGTCCATCTGCGAAAGATCGATCAATGTCCAACAAATTAGAAAAAGAAACTTATTAGTGTTGCAGCCAGACAACGGAACCCAGGCCTATTGGGCAGGCTGGCAGCTAGCTAGAAGTTCGAAAAAGAAAAATGCACCCAGAAGCGGACTCAATCTAGAATCTGGCTTCTTTCTCGGCATGACTCCGTTGCAGAATGTATGCCACTAGAATTGCTTGCGATTGAACTAATTGGTCGTGAGCAAGTCGTCACAATATCATGGATGGGAGAGCATGTAACAAACCAGACTAGGTGATCACACTGATGTTTCAAACGGCACCCGTAGTTTCCTATCCCCTCAATGCCGAAATGTTAGGTTGCCGTTCAATGGGAAGGAAAAGGCCTTCGATGTAAGACGGACAGCATGACAGCTGGCACAAAAGTAAAAACGACTGTCTCATGCAGGAGCTTTGATTCAGCAAGCGGATGGTCTGGCTGATTCTTGAATTCCGGTTCGTACGCAGCGGAAAGCCATAGACGAAGCGGGGACGATCAACGGAGCATCTCAGGCTGCAACAACAATCCGAGCTAACAGGACAAAGGCCAAAAGAGATCAATCATGGCGAATGAGGGATTTTCAACACGGGCTGGATGAGAGAACACGACAGCAGGATGTATGCATTTGTGAATCACCCGGTGATTACAGTTGCCCCGAACAGGAAGGGTGTGGATATTTTGTGTCTCCACAGTCAGGGAAATTCCAGCATAGCCAACCGCAAAATCACTGGATGGGGTGGTGTGGGTGTGATGATAGAACACAGTAGTCGACAAGCCATCGGATGCTGAGCTGAATTCGATCGACAATTGATGGGCATGGGCGATAATTGGTCGTCTTGTAACATGAACGCTTTTGACGAAACATAAATAGGGCCACGGAGGCCGTCCCCTCCTCGAACTCTGAATCATTAACCGTTTCACACTCTGCTTCTTCAAGAAAAACCATTCGAAATAAGACTTCGTTGCTGATTAAAGGTGTTTCAATTCTAAGGCTCTCTTCAACCTTCAAGAGTCTTGTGCAAGCTTAGCCTATCAAATCTCTGCACGGCGGCAGGATCTTTGAGCGGACCAATAGAACACAAGCCAGACACTTGAAACCGCAAGCTGCAGCAACGGAGAGTGAGTTTCATCCAGACCCTAGAAAACCATTAGCTGACAACAAGAATTAGATATGTGCTTCTACAACCAGAGGAAGTTTTCATGCGGTGACTGGAGTTGGACCAACTTCGCTCACCGTTGCAATTACGAATACCGCACGGGCGAGACATGTGGCATGAGACTTGTGAATGAGACCTTCAACGAGAAGGCGAAATGCCGCCTGTGCGATAAGATTGATACCAAGGTGCGGCGGCGAAACGCCGAGGTGGACAGATTGACTCGATGGAAGCGAGAGGGAGGCACTCTCGTGGCTTCCATGGAACGAAGTCAGAACCTGATCAAGGAGCTCGATAGAGAGATCTTCCAGCTGGAGAGAGAGAAGCAAGAAAAGCAGCGAGCACTGTCATAGGAGGACATGGTGAGCTGCGGTGAGAAAATGGGGTGAGAATGTTGCGAGCCAAGTGCTGTTTCTTTTCTTCGAATTTCAGATTCCCTCATTGGTTATGCTTTGGTCATTCTTCTTGTTTGTATCTTTGGTGCTTAACCCCTGTCAATGTGTAACATTGTGTGAACTCGACCATTGTTCATTTCAAACCCGTCTTTTCAGGCTGCAGCCACACAATGGCTGGCGGATAGTTTTCATTTTGAGCAAAAGGTCCTGAGCAAAAGGGATCAGATCCAATAAAGTTGTTTCAAATGCTCAATATCTGGCATTTCCAGGCGCCATCCCTCGGTAGAAGTTCCACACCGTAAGCGCCGATGTTGATGAGCGGCTCGTCGAAGCCAGAAGACCGTTTCACCATAGCAATTGTTCGCTGAAGGGGGCATCAATGTTGTCAATTACAGTATAGATTGCTCCTTTTGTAAAGGAGGTCCTATAGTTTGATGTAGCTGCCCTGGCGTCATGAAAGAGAACAGTGAGAGTTGCGGACGAACGATGGGTTTGAAGATATGGAGAGCTGGATCAATGGAGGGATATAGACCAAACCCCGCGTTTCGGCAATCGCCACGTGATGGCCCTCCTGTTTGGGTTAGAGGTGTCCTGTCCCAGTCTGTCAACTGGCAGCCCCCGGTGGTGGATGAATTCAGCACCACGACATCAATTCGTCAAAGTTGGCTCCTTGCTGACCTCCAACCAAGCTTCGCTGTGATGTTTTGAGATATATGGTCTGGACGTGGCTCTGCCTTGCGTATTCGTGCTTATAATGGATCAACCGAATGTGCTGTACCAGGGGCCAGGATACAACCAATATTCGACATAAAATACTGCAGGATGCCCTTTCGCCCATAACTTGTATAAAATAGGCACTGGACGAAAATGTGGTCTGATATTGGCGCGTCATGTTTATATAGGAAAGGAATGTGGCACCCTGGGCTCAGGGAAGCCCTTCGTTTGTTCAGGCGCCCAATGTCAATGAGGTCTTCGTCAGCTACGTGGACCATTCATCTTCGGAGATCTGTGAAGAACCGGATCGGATGTCCCTCAGACACACGAGAGGACAAATGTACAATGAATTGTCCGGGAGCCAGCTTGATATCGCCGCTTGCCACGTCACCCGTGGACAACGTCAGTTACGCTTCAGGTGCAGCTTCAGGGAAGTGTTCTGTGTGCCATGATTTGATGCAGGTCTCTCCTAGCAAGCTACATGCCTATGAGCGGTGCAAAGCCTACGGATGTATAGCTGAAGAACGTTTGGTCAATGGAAACAAATGATATTATCTTGGTCAAAAAGCAGAAAGCTGTCGTTCACTCATTTATTTGATCTCACCAGCCTCGGGCTCATCGTCAACCTTGGCCAATCCGTGTTCTTTCAATAGAGCATTGATCTCATCGGCACTCCACAGATGGTGGTAGATCTTGCCTTCAGGCGTTCTTCCCACCGTCGCGAACTCAACTATTTGAAATGTGCCTGTTAGCAGATGATGCGGCTGGGATGCACTTTGTACGATCCGGAAAGGAACCACTTACTCTTCTCACTGCTCAACTTCGTTGAGTCCATCGTCTTGCTCAAGACCTTCACCGCCATGGCGCAAGCCTCCTTCAGATCGCAGTCCTCCTTGTAGTCTTGCTTGAGCAAACTTTGGGCGCTTGCGTTGTTGGCACCCACGCTGGTCGCCTTCCAACCACCGTAGTTACCGCTGGGGTTGCTCTGGTACAACTGGAACTGCCGAAGAGGGTCGTAGCCCGCATAGATGAATGACACACCGAAGGGACGAAGACCACCGTGTTGGGTATATCCTTGTTTCAGATCGCACAACCGACGGACAAGTTGCTCGCAAGGGATCTCTTCGTTGTAGGTAAGGAGGTACCGCTGAGCGGCTTGTCGGGCGTAGTTGATCAGGATGTTCGCATCTGCCGTCATACCAGCAACGGCACAGATCATGTTGCTGCCCGAAATGTTAGGCCAGTAAAGGGCGGTGGGATAAGGGCCGCATACTCGTTCAGTGTGTACAGCTTCTCGGCAGATGTGTCCTGCTCGAGCAGCTTGCTGGTGACCTTCTTCTCCGCGGCAAGGACGATTCCATCCTTGGCCAGAATACCCAGAGCAGTACCGGCGTGCGAGATGGCTTCTAACGCATACTCAACCTGGTACAGTCGACCTTCGGGGGAGAAGATGGTTGTCTGTCGAAGAACGTCATCGGGTCAGCTAGGAAGCTTCCGAAAGAACAATTAATCATCGGGGGAACAAGCATACTCTGGAATCGTATCTTCTTGACATCTTGAACTAGTTGAACCAATATTCAAATACTCCAGTTGTGTATGTCAAGCAAGAAGAGAGGGTGGGAATGAGCGGAGTTGTGATAGGGAGAAGATGAAGGGAGATGCCGAGCAAGCTGTGCAGTGGAAGGTCGGATGAGCTCCCGTTGGAAGTGAGCGAGTGAGTGACCGACCAGGCAACTTCGCCCTGGCGCGTCCACCAGCCAGCCCGCCATCCGTCCGCCAAGCTCGGACCACCCCGAGATTCCATGCGAAGCTCTCCGCGACACTGGCGCAAATTATCTTTCAACGGCGCTTCAAGCCTTCAACCATTTGGCCAAAAGTCCTTCGATTATGCGATAAAATATCTTTACTCAACTTTTATATATCTATTTGAGTGGAACTCACATTGCATAATCATATTTCACCATGCTAAGGTCGACATATACCCCACCTCCTCCGCTACCTCCAGGATGGACCGAACATAAAGCTCCTACAGGTACGCTTACCCACAAGGAGTGTCGTCCATATCTCGTTCCTAATTTAATCTAGGACATACATACTACTACAACGCGCAAACCAAGCAATCCACCTACACCAGGCCCCTACCAGTTCCGACCCAACCCCAACCGCCGACAATAACGCCGCAACAGCCCACATACAAAACGAACATAGACACACTGCCCCCATTCTCTTCTACCCCTTATGCGCCTCACGGATTCGGCTTCGGTGGCACTGGCTCCAATGCCATCCCTCAATATGGACAGCAGCAAGGGAATCAGGGTCAAGGAAATTTCCGCGGCGGAAGAAACAACTATGATCGCCGACGCCGGGGGCCAGAAGACAGGCCCAAGAAAAAGCACGCTGTGCCAGGGTGCGCGCCGTGGGTGCTTGTGAAGACGAAACTAGGAAGACGATTTGTTCACAATCCGGAGACAAACGAGAGCTTCTGGAAAATCCCTCCCCAGGTGATGAAGGGGGTTCTCGAGTTCGATCGCTTGGAACAAGAGGCACTGGCGAGAAAGGAACGGGGTGAAGATATCCAGGATGTTGGAGACCTGGAACATGCAGAGGGTAGTTCAGGAGAGAGACAGGAAGCCGTGGTTTCGGCAAGCGGTCCCCCAGCACACGCCGAGGAGGACAGCGATGAGTATGAGGAAGTCGAGGTTACGGACGACGACGATGAAGACCAACCTTTCAAACGACCGAAGACCGATGAGGATGAAGGTCACCCACAACCTGTGGAATTTACCGAGGAAGACATGGAATATCAGTTAGCAGCGATGGGAGAAGAATACGGCCTCGACCCCGGCGAGTATGGCGAACCAGGCGAGGAAGGGTGGGAAGAGGGTGCTGAAGGTCTGCCACTCACGGAGGAGGATGCTACGGCTCTATTCCGCGACCTCCTCGACGACTTCCATATCAATCCCTTCACGACCTGGGAGAAGATCATTGAAGAAGGCCACATCATCAACGACAGCCGCTATACTGTTCTCCCGAACATGAAAACGCGTCGCGACGTCTGGTCGAACTGGAGTCGCGATCGTATCCAAGATATCAAGGAGCGCAAGCAGAAGCAAGAGAAGAAAGACCCGCGCATAAAATACCTGTCATTCTTGCAGGAACACGCAACCCCAAAATTGTACTGGCCAGAGTTCAAACGGAAATATAGGAAAGAGCCAGAGATGAAAGACCCACAGCTCTCGGACAAAGACCGGGAGAAGTTCTACCGCGACCTGGTATCTCGAATGAAGCAGCCCGAAAGCAGTCGAAAATCCGACCTTTCAGCTCTGCTCAAATCTGTCCCTTTGCATGAATTGCACAAATCATCCAACCTCGAAGCGCTCCCCACATCTATCATTACCGATCTCAGATACATCGCACTAGCTCCCAAAGTACGTGATCCGCTTATCGAGACGTACATCTCGACCTTGCCCCCGGCACCAGAGGATAACCTCACCGCCGAGGAAAGAGAAGAGCTGGAGCGAAAGAGAGTGGAGCGAGAAAAGCGTGAGAGGGCTCTGGCGGAACGTGAAAAGCAAGTTGAAGATGAGAAGCGGAAGCAGAAGGGCGAACTTATCCGTGGCAAACATCTCTTACGAGAAGGTGAGGTTGAGCTTGAGGAAGCTATGCAAGTCAACAAGGGCGGCCTGCGCAGCTACCTGGAAGCAGAGGACCAATCGTCCAGACCTCAAGGAGAATAGGGAGCATTGGGGAAGTGTATCTCATGTATAGGATAATCATGACATTAGATGACTGTAAGATACAGGTTGAATCGTTTCTGTCTCTATCTAAAGGATCAATCACACGACGCTTATGATTCAGCTATGCGGGCGTAATATGCCCTGCCATACAAGCAAGCGCAGAATGGGGAGGTATGAAAGAGCAAGTAAGCTAACAGGACAGCACTCGCGCTGCCAATACTGTGGCGGATTAAGGTGATTAGTAGCAATCTTGTGTGATCGCACATAGCTCATGGGGTATCATTGTAAGTTTTTAGAAAAGTTCTGGACCTCCCTCTTTGTGAAATGACGCCGTTTGTTTATGTCCCACGCCTGAACCCTGACCCCAATAATTACCGGAATCTCCAGTTGTCCCAATCATCATCGTCATCGTCATCGTCGTCATCATCATCCTGCTCATCTTCATTCTCGTGACGGCGTCCAGCGTGGCCCAGCTCATCCTGCGGCGCAGGGCCCGCGGAGGGAGATTTATCCATATCCTGCACTGTGACGTCCTCGGCAGGTCTAAGTTGCCGCAGCTCTTCGCGTTTTTGTTTGAGGCGCTTGAGGCGCTCCTCTAGCTGGTCCATCTCGTCGAACTCGTTCTCCATGAAGCGCGCCGCATCCTCCCGCTCCCCCTCCGCCTCCACCTCGCGGTTCTTGCCTATCGTCTCGGATTCGCG